AGCTTCACCTCTTACCCTCTTCCTCTCAGAGACATCACTGTTAGTTCTCTTTCCAAGGTCGGAAGTTGGCTCTGAGAGGTTTGACCTCTGCTCTGTTTCCCATTGCCGCTTAAACCCTAAGCCATCCTGACCAGAAGAGGGAGTCATGACAATAAGGAATCTTCCAGTCAGTCATTATTGGTTTTCTCAAACTTCAGTTGTTTGCCTAGTCTGTTCAAAGGGATCCCTGCTCCAGATTCCCCCTTGACATCGACTACTATACTAAATTCTTACTGTTTAAAAAGTTTAGGAGTAGTGACTTTTCCCTCTCATTTTTTGAAGTAATATATGCAAAGAAAAATTTTAAAAACCAGTCATCCATAATTGTATTACACAACAACAAAAAAAGGGAGAGAGCAACCAGGATATATACGTATTATATTTCAATGTATATTTATTTTCTGGTATTCTTTTCAATAAAGAATATCTACCAGAAACCTGTATCAAACCTCTGACATATCATGCACAAGAATTAACATGACATTTAATGTTGGGAACAACTCAAGGATAACTGCTATCACTGCTACCATTTAAAATTGTATCACAAATTTTTGCCGATGTAAGAAGACCAAAGAAAAAAAAAGAAAGAAAGAAAGAAAGAAAGAAAAAGAAACAAGATGACTTAATTTGGGAAAGGAAGAGGCGAAACTAGTATTTATAGATAATTACCAGAAAATGTGAGGTATAATAGACTGAAACACTATTAGAGAACACACTGAGAGGGGTGTCTGTGTGGCTCAGTTTGTTAGGTGTCCAACTCTTGATCTCAGCTCAGGTCTTGATCTCAGGGTGTAAGTTCAAGCCCCACGTTGGGCTCCATGCTGGTTGTGGAGACTACTTTAAAAAAAAAAAAAAAGGAGAAGAAGAAGAAAAGAAAACACATAGAAACTATTAGGAATAATGAAAAAATTTAATAAAATCCACATAGATGATCAAAATCAGTTGTTTTCCTTTTTGCTACCGACAACAAAACGGATATATATTTTTTAAATCCCGTTCCCAGTAAGCACAAAGCACTGTTTAAAATATGGGCAATTAATATAATATGGCATGTGTAAGACTTGCATAAGAAAACTATATTAAGTAAATACACAGCAGGGGGCCTGAATAGGCATACTACAGATCAATGTTGTCAAGGTATAATTACCTCAAAATTAATCAACATGAATTTTGTGCAAATTCCATTAAAATCCTGATAGGATTTTTCAAGGAATTTGATAAACTGTTTCTAACATTTGCCTGAAAGTAAATGAGCAAAAACTACCATGAAAATGTTGAAAAAGACCAGTAAAGGATTCTTTGTCTTGCCACAGAGCAGAGGTCTACTGCAATTTTTTTAAATACAGTTTTGGCATGTGGATAGACCAAAAAATCGGTAGAACAGAATAGAGTCCATAAAAAGACCCCCAAATACATGAGAATTTAATACATAATCTTATTGACAAAGAAGGTATTGGGATAACTGGTTTTCCTTAGCAGAATAAAAAATTTAGGTGCCTACCTTAAATCGTAAGACAAAATAAATTCTAGATGGCTGAAATCCTGAAGAGTTAAACATAGAGGGGGGAAAAACAACTACGAAAGTTAAAAAAGAAAATATAGGTAAAATTTTTAAAAAGATTTTATTTATTTATTTGACAGACAGAGATCACAAGCAGGCAGAGAAAGAGGAGGAAGCAGGCTCCCTGCTGAGCAGACAACCCGATGCGGGGCTCGATCCCAGGACCCTGAGATCATGACCCGAGCCGAAGGCAGAGGCTTTAATCCACTGAGCCACCCAGGAGCCCCAAAGTATAGGTAAATTTTTGTGTCATCGTTTGTCCAGGGAACATATCACAAGTGAGGTTCTCCAAAAATCAGACTCTAAATTGATGAGTGTGCAAGGGAGCTCTTCACATTCAGTATTTATGGAGGAAGAGAAGGGATTAGGATTAAGTAAAGAAGCTGGTCTGTGATACAATTACAGTAAGGCCTTGTTCCCCCCCAGAGAGCTCATCGGCTGCTATGGGCCCAAGTTAGGGTGAGGGCATTGGCCCTTTATAGCCCCACACACTCCTGCCATTGGGTGTAGGCTGACCCCAGATGGGATATGACATAGGGTGGGGTCACTCTCCGAGGCTGAGAGTAATTTCCAGGGAAGGCTGATAGCTTCAGTCCGGAGAAGATCCCATTTGTCCAGTGCACCATCCACACCAGAGCAGCTTGGATCAGTTTCTTCCGATAAACTGAGAGAGTAGCTCCTCTGAATCCCGTGAGTGTGTTTTCTTGGGGAAAACTTACAAAGGGAAGATTAGTGGAATGACCTACAGTTTCCACCATTGTAGTTGGTCTTGAAGCTGTAACCGATGCCCGGTATCTCCTTCTTCTCTTTCCCTTTCCAGATTCCCCATATCCTTCACTAGCACCTCTGCTAGTCTGCATGCCTAGTTGGTCAGGTGACCCAGACCCTTGTCCGAGAGTCCGAGCCTCTGATAACCATGTACTTCTCATGCCATAGCTATTGTACTTGTCATTTTTCCTCAAAATGGAGTAAGGGAATAGTAAGAGTGGAGCACCTTGCAATGCCAGAAAATAACTAAGTGTTCAAGGAAAAACCCACAGTGATGGGGATAGGTCAAAGACTTGGGGCCACGTGAGAGAACTACCTATGGCCTCAGCTGGAACAATTAGAGAAAAAAAATAGTATTGTTTAGCTTTTGAATATTTTATTTATTTATTTGAGAGGGAGTGTAAGAGAGAGATCACAAGCAGTGGGGAAGGGCAGAGTGAGAAGCAGACCCCACACAGGGAGCCCAAGGCAGAACACAATCCCAGGACCCCAGGACTGCAACCCGGGCTAAAGGTAGACACTTCAACTGACTGAGCCACCCAGGTGCCCAAGGTAGTATTGGATTATAACCTGAAGTTTAAAATAAACATCTACGAGCCCCCCAACGATGTAAACAAATTTTTTAATAAATAAGTAAATTGGGGGAAAGAGACAAATCTCCTTTATAGAAGAATTCTAAATAATTTATGTAGGTATTTTACTCTAAAGAAGGTGGAACGTAACTCCCTATTCCTTATATACAGGTTGCCAATAGTGACTTCCCTCCAAAGAGTGAGGTATGGAAAGCGGAAAAAACAGTGGCTTTTCAGTGGAGAAAGTTAACAAACACCACTGAAGTCAGGTGATCAAGGTTAGCCTCAACTCTGGTTAGGTCCTGTCGATGGAATGTACCCCAGCACTTCACCTCTGTGGTCTTCCTCTTCCTAACCCAAAAGTCCAGTCTAATCATGAGCAAAACATGGGACAAAACCACGGGGGCACTTTATGAAATAGCCAATTAATATCCCTCAAAATCGTCAAGTTCATTGTAGCAAGTGAAGACTGAGAAACAGTCAGAGCCCAATGAAGCATGTCGACTAAAAGTCACGTGATGGGGCATTCTAGATGGGGTCTTGCAACCAAAAAAGGGCATTAGGTAAAAATTTAGGAAATCTAATTAAAATGCTCCATACTACTCTAATATGGCAATAATGGGAAACTGAGTGGGGTGTACATGTGAACTTTCAGGACTATCTGCATATTTTCCTGTAAAGTTTCTGTAAAACTAAAGCTATTCAAAAATTTTAAGTTTAATTATTTTTATTTATGATTTTATTTTTAAGAATACCTCCACACCCAACACGGGGCTCGCGCTTACAACCTTGAGACCAAGAGTTGAGTGCTCCACCGACTGAGCTAGCCAGGAGCCCCTTTATTTGTATTTTTTTTTTTTTTAAAATGCTAGAAGAATTACCTGGTTAAACATGACCTTTAGTGGCTATTAGCCAACCATCATAAAAAGACACAGTAGCCCCAAAGGTGAAAACAATATATTAATTTATTTCTAAGACAACAACGTGGAACATCATTGCAATCAAGGATGGATTTAGTAGTTTCAACTGTCCCCATGGGCTAGCAGAAACCCACTGGCCCAAACACTACAATCTTCCAATATTAAAAAATGCAAGACACAGAGATGACCAGCAACAGACATGTAAACATCTTCTACTCCAAAAAAGAGTCTCGTTCTAGATGAGAAAGATCCAGTGTTAAACATTCCTTCTTCTCGGGTGGGGTCATTTAAAGTGGAAAAAAAAAAAAAGATGGTTCTTAGACTCCATTAGCTCTGGGTGTGTTTCCTCTGCTTTAAGCCTTTACCACTCTGCACAGCTACATCTTTTTCAGTAGCAGGAACAAAAGGCGGCTTTACTTCAAAGGCACTCCCTTAAATACGATTAACACTCAACAGGCACAGTCACAGGAAAAAAGAATAAAATTTGTGAATTAAAGATATCATTAGTTGTAGTAACTTTTTTTTGTTAGAATAAATAAATATTAAGGAACTTAATGGATTTAGGAGGATAAGAGTAGACTTCACATTTTTCTGAGGTGACAGCACATTTTCTCACATTAATGCTGAGACCCTTCTTCTTAAAACCTACCGTCTCTGGTATACTAAATATGGCTTTATTTCACCTTCTCTAAATACTCCATCTCAGGAAATCGAACGAAGGAGACCAGTAAGAACACCCCTATCCTCAGAGAATTTGTTTCCTAACGCTTATTAATAACGTCTGTAAGCCTCACTTCATCTGCAAAATGGAGGCAATCTTGTGAGCCTCCCAGGTGATGTAAGGTTTTAGCACAACGAGCCGTAAGGGAGCTGTCAGGATGCCTACAACGCAACAGGCTTTAGCTTGTCTATTCCTACCCTTCTCCCTTTGCAATGATCTCTAATATCTCTGATTTAGACCTTGATTTCTTTTTTTTTTTTAAAGATTTTATTTATTTATTTGAGAGAGAGAACGAATGGGGGGTGGGATGGGGAAGGGCAGAGGGAGAGGGAGAAGCAGACTCCCCGTGGAGCAGGGAGCCCGATGTGGGGCTCAATCCCGGGTCTCCAGGATCATGACCTGAGCTGAGTGCAGACGCTTAACAGAATGAGCCACCCAGGGACCGCCAGACCTCGATTTCTAATTACTCATATTCTTGGCCTGATATCCCAAATCTATAACTTTGCACATGAAAGTATTAAAATACAAGCAATCCAGGAGATTCTCTACAGCTGCCTTTTCGATGTCGATGCTATTATCAAGAACTTTAGAGTGAAAAAGCTTCTGTCTCCCTTTTCTCCCGGTGTCCAAGATGGGTGTGGTGTACAACAGGCACTCAACAAATATGTACTGACTGCATGCTGAATGAATGAGTTGGATAAAGGAACGAGACGACGGATCGGTGACACAGAAGCTCACTCACAGTGGAGAGCTCTTAGAAACCTAGTGGCTCTTACTAGCACTAAGCACTGTAAACCTACTCAGAGAATACTCTGGAGTCCTTGAAGCCTCATGGCGTAGAAACTGGACTCCATTTTGCAGGTAAGATCACTTCGGTGGGGATGGAGGGTGGTGACCAAAGAGGAAAGTGACTCATTCTGAGGCTAGAGACTCAGGACAAGATTCATGCAATAGCACCTCTCTTCTAGAAATATCTTCATTCTTGGGAACGTTTCGGCGTTTTCCATGGAAAGCAACGGCAGGGGGACTAGCGCACATTCTAGACACACCCCAAGAAAAGTCCAGTTTCCCTGGGATCCCTTTGCTGAAGCAGGAAGCAGTGGCCACTGTCCGAAAAGCATATCCCGCCTCCTGTCAATGACTTTACTTTCTACACAGAACTCCAGACACAGTCAACTGGAAATGCTAGTGTTGGAACTCGGGAACAAGACCTAGTTCTCCCTTCTCGTAGCTCAAGTTCTAAAGGACATGGCTGAGTTGCCCAGAAAGCTGTTTCTATGCCTCCGCGCTGCTGAGCAGAGAGGACTTGTGTCCATGAATGCGTAGCTACAGACCTGTCAGAGAAGACTCCTTCAAAGAGACACAATTCCTATTTCCCTCAACAGTTCTCCTTTTCTTATCTACAGTTCTCCTTTTCATGAAAACGTGTCTCTCCAGTGAGCATCTGGTGCCAAGGTCTGACGTCAGTTCAATTTATCACCCATCAGAGCATCAGCCCCACATGGAAGGAACATCGGGAGGCCACTGGTGAGGCCAAAAGGCTCGCCTCGCCCCGGGCAGCCACCCTGATGGCAGAGTTCACAGTGTCCACAGATGTCTTCACACAGAACGACACGGCCAGGTTCTGCAGCCCTAACCTCACTCCGGCACCTCCTCCCCTAAACGAGGCAGAGTTCTCGCACGAAGCAAGGCTCTTCTCCCCGGCCTCGGGCGCCTGCTGAGCCCGTGTTACAGGGGATCAGAAATACCAGCTGGGTTGAATTACGGTTTCACTCTGATTTAGGGTTCTTTCTCGAAGCCTCAGCTCCAGGCATTCCACAGTGAGGGGGTACGTGGTAAGCTCAAACTTGTTAGCGAAGAGGCTGGGCGAATTAATCAACCACTTCAAGTCTCCGTTTCCGTAGATACAGATGCCGTGTACGTAGTGGCCTGCAGAGGGGAGAACAAGAGACCATCAGAACATGCTGGGTTTCCCAAGCTGGGGGCAGTGAGACTGCCCAGCAGTAGAGTCCTGTCTACCTGCGGAGCGACTAAAAGGGTGCTAAGCACTACGGGCTTCTAATGAAGCAGGACCCTGGGGGCCCAGCCCACAAGGAAGTTCAGCTCTTTATGGGAAGACGAAGGGCACACAGAGGTCCTTAAAGAACAGGACAGTGAACGGTACAGTACAATGGTACACTTCCGTGTATTAGCAAATGAGAGTGATGGAGGAGAGGTTCTAGAAGCGTACAGAAGGGAGAGGTCCCTATGGGTCGCCCTGGTCAGGCCTGTTCTGTGAGCCTATCCAAGTGCTGACTTTTTATCTCCACCTAGATGAGAATGAATCTCCCTGAGAGGACATGTCAGGACTCAACTCCTCACCCCCTCTGAGCTCCCCTGGGTATGTCTGTCTCCTCCTTTCTCTCATACCCCACACACAATCTATCAGCCATTCTGACACCTCAACCTTCAAAATACTAATGGAATTGGACCCCTTTCCACCACCTCCGCTACCACCACTGGGGCCCACACCACCTCCACCGTCCTGTCCAAATTGTTACAGTAATAACCGGATTCCACTGCGACCACCTTGGTCTGTTAGTGCAAAAGCCAGAGCGACTGCTTTAAATGTCAGCACATCATGATGTCTCCTCTGCTCAAAGCCCTCTAAGGGCTTCTCCTCTCATTTGGGGTGTTAGGTCTGTGATCAAAGGAGCGAGACTGATACAAAGTGAAGGTCAAGCAAAGCTTCATTTTGTGCCAAGCATCGAGACTCAAACCGACCAGTCGGGGCCACCTCTTACAGAGAGAGCGACCCCTCCCAGCCTCACAGACTAACTTTTATAGAGCAAAGGCCATGTGGTTGGGCCTGGCCACACACAGATGGCCAATGAGATTGCAACACACAGAGAAAGCTGCACAGTCATGGTAGGTCACACACGGGTGGCCAATTGAATTACAATTCACCCCATAGTAGCTATTTAAACTACCTTGGTCAGAATTGGCGCCCAAAAGGTGGGGCCCACACTCCTTGGTAGCTAGGGGACGGTATGTGCGCCCCACTGATTGGATGTCTCCACCTGGCCCAACTCATCCCTGCATTCGTGTTTTTTTTTTTTTTAAAGATTTTATTTATTTATTTGACAGAGAGATCACAAGTAGGCAGAGAGGCAGGCAGAGAGAGAGGAGGAAGCAGGCTCCCCTAGAGAGCAGAGAGCCCGATGCGGGGCTCGATCCCAGGACTCTGAGATCATGACCTGAGCCGAAGGCAGCGGCTTAACCCACTGAGCCACCCAGGCGCCCCTGCATTCGTGCTTTTATCTCCACCTGACCTGACCCACCCTTGTATTAGGGCTCTGTTATCAGAGACTAGTCGACCACATTCTACTGGTTTCTGGGACTTGCTTTTAAGTAAGTTCCCCTGGCGGGGTGGGGACAGGGTCAATTTAAGTTTTATTGCATAAACAACAAAATCACTGTTTAACCTGAGGGAATCACTCTGGCTAAGTAGGCCCTTACATGGACTTCTCAGGGTCTGGCCTTTACCTCCCACCCCCCTTGCTCATTGACTTACAACCCTTAATAACCCTTGCTTAGTCCCTTCGGCGACACTGGCCTCCTTGCTGGCCCCGAGCACACCACGCACGTTCTCCCGGAGAATCCACGTTGCTCTTCTCCCCCCGCCAGCCCCTTTCCACCACACATCCTGGAGGCTCCCTCTCACACCGCACCCCAGGCCTCTGCTCCAAGGCCATGTTCTCAGTGAGGCCTCCTCTGACCCCTCTTTCCTCCTTCCCTGATTCATTTTTCTCTTGGCTCTCATGAGCAACAGGTAGACATGTGTGTCAGTGCCAGGAAGGCAAATATTTTGTTTACTGTCTTTCTTTCCAGATAACTGTTTATTGTCTTTCTCCTTAGACTAGAACATAAGGTTCAAAAGGGCTGAACTTGAGACCATTTTGTTCCCCTCTATGTCCTCAGCATCTGGGACAGAACCTTGTAAACATCAGGTGTTATATTAATACTATTGAACAAATGGATAGAGAAGGATGGGTGGCGACTCTGTGGAAGGACAGACTAGGGGAAGCCATGGGGGGTGCAGATGGTGGCTTCATTTGGGGACAATGCCTCTGAAAAAATATGCAGAGGTGGGAATTTTCTACTAGAATTGGGAGTTTGGTTGGGAAGTGGGTTAGAAGAAGAATGGTAGGAAGTTGAACCTCTTTTCTAGAGGTTTCTTGGCAAGAGTAGAACGACTATGGTTGACTGACCTAAAACAAACTAAAGGGCTAGGCCTTTTTTTTTTAATCCCATACATAGGGAGAGTCTCTGAAGATTTCTGAATGGAAGAATCAAATGGTGAAACGAGCTTTAGCAAGATTAATTTTGCACAGCTTGGCAGGGTGCGTTAGAAATCAATCATGAGGCCACACTAACAACTTAATGTAAACCAGAGAACCGGTTCAAAGTTAATGGTTGCCATGAGAGGGGAAAGAAAGGTATCAGAAACAGAGCAGAGAAGGGCTGACAGGACTTGTGATTAATTGAATGTGCCTGGGAGGAAGTACAAGAGAGAATGGAAATCATGGGGCACAGAAGCCAGAGTTGTGGGAAGTCAGAGAAGGACCCGGGGGAGGAGGCGGGGGTAAGAACTGAAGTCATAAGCAGCCCGTCCATGCTTACGAGAGTGAAGTGAACAGGGGCGACTGTTTCAGTGTGGTTGGAGTAGAGGCTACACAGACAACTTGGTCTTCAGGCCAGAGGCAATCACTACACACCTGATAGAGAAGAGAATCCCTACCCACTAGCACAGAGGGGGCAACACAGGAAGGCAGGAGAGCAAGGGGATCCTCTAGGGAAACCCACACAAAGTTGAGACCCCCCAGATGGTGACGCTGGTTGTGAGGATGGGTAGCTTTCCTCTCAGAACAGGAAGGAACGATGAGAGTGTGTCCAAAATACCCTGACATGGAGAAAAGGGGATGGCATGACAAACTGGTAAGGGGATGTCCATCAAATGTCTTGAAAGTTCTTCCTCAAGTTGAAGTTACTACCTTCTGAGAGTAGAAAGGCCATTTTAGCCTAAGATTGAGAGTTTAAGGCGAGCAGGAAAGATGAACAGGACACCAGGAAGATAATGAGGTAAATAAAAGAGTAAGTAGGCAGCCAGGAGGGTCTAGCCTCCTTGTTGCGGGGGGACAGTCTCCAGCGATGGTTTGCTTAGGCAAACACAAATGGCATAAAGCGGATGGTGGTGACCCTTATGCATAGGAATGGACCTTGTAGGGTCAAATGGCAGGGGAATCTGGAATGTTGAGTGAGAACAGCATGGGACAGTTGACCCAGTTACACAGGCTGGACAGGGAGTCCTCAGAAGGAAGCTAGTAGGAGGAAGCAGCTGGGACAGTTGAAACCTTGGCAATCCCAATTTTAAAAAAGCTGCCACGTTTCAAACAACAACAACATATTTTAGATGTGGGGATATAGCAATGAACAAATTGGTCAAAAATCCTAGCCCTCTTGGAGCTTCTATTCTGCTCTGGGGAGAAAGACGGGAAGATACAAAGCACGTAAGCTGGTGAAGAAAACTAGCTGAGCGACAAAGAGATTGTAATCAAAGGCGGAAGCTCCAAGTTCAAGATGACAGAGCTGGAGTGGTCGGATGATTCTAAGTGCTGACAGGGTCTAGAGTGGGTACACATCCACGGGTTTGGAACAATTCCTATTACTCGCCACCAAGGGGAAAAGGTCCAGATCGTACTCCTGACTTGCTGGTTGGGCACGCACTGTTCTGCCTTCTCTGGGTTCTTTTTCTTTTCCCTCTCGAGTGGTTTGGGGGACAAACTATTTTTATGCTCTGTACCGTACAAGGCTTTCAGATGTTCACTGGTGTAACAGGTGCTAAAAGAAGAAAAATGAGACATTTCTCTGAGAGACTTGGGCTGCCCAAGCTTTGTACACTAGGTAGGTCCCTGGCTCAGGGCTCCTCTCATGGGCCCACTTGTCATGTGGTAAGTGAAATCCCTCTAAAAATGTAAACCTGACTAGCCTATACCATCTCTATGGGGTAAGGCCTGGGCACAGGTGAGGACAAGGAGGTGGAAGGTAAGGCTCTATGGAGGGGCAGGGTTGCTGATAGAGGCACAGGGGGACAGGAGCTTCCGCGGGGGAGGCTAGAGCCACAAAGTCATGACATCCCATGGGTCCCTGCTGTGAAGGCTGAAGTCCTCCCGAGTTACAGCCAGAGAGAAGCAGCAGATCAGAGGATGACCACAGCGGTCCCAGAGGGAGGGTGACAGGGTTATGGGAGGACTTCGGGGAACTCAAATACTGGGACCCCCAACTGATGGTGATGATGGTCTCTTTTCTAAAGAAGACCCAGGAGACCCAAAAGCAAATGTCCTCTCCACCCTCCTCCTTCCACCAGCAGGGTGGGCCATGATGAAATGCAGGCACGGGTGTCAGCCAATATGTTGGCTGATTAAGTAAAGACATGAATATGCCTGCCGAGGGGCAGACTGTACAGTGACATGAGGATTTGCCATCTGCAGCGGAAGCGGATGCTCAGAGAGATGGAAAACGGGGTGGGGAGGAACGGAGAGCTGCCCAGAGGCAGTCATTTGGAGGTTTTCCTCTGAAACATGAGGTGTCGATGAGATGGCCCTGAGAGGGAAGCCAGAGACTGCACCTAGACGGACTGATGGACGAGTAGAGGTGGCAAAGCTCTGTCAGCACAGGGAGCAAAGGCCACCTCCCGTTATGGGCTGAGTTGTCCCCCTGCCCAAATCCATCCGTTGAAGTCCTAGCCCCCCTGCCTCTGTACCTCAGACTGTGACTGTGTCTGAGACAGAGCTATTCAAGCTAAAATGAGGTCATACAGGATGGGCCCTTGTGCAGTAGGAATGCCGTGGGGGTAAAAAGAGGAGATGAGGACCCAGACGCACACAGAAGGAAGACCACGTGAGGCCTTGGGAAGAAAGTGGCCACCTGTGAGCCTCTCAGGAGAAACCAAATCTGTCACCACCTTGATCTCCAGCTTCCAGCCTGCAGGAGGGTGAGGAAACAAATTTCTGTTGTTGAAGTCACGAGGTCTCTCATACTTGGTTACGTGAGCCCTAGTTAATGAATACCATGCTCACTACATACCAGGCAACAGTTTAAATGGAATGTTGACCAGGGCTGATGAAAGCCCTTCTTTATAAAGTCCTACAGAAATGAAAACTACTGGGGCGCCTGGGTGGTTCCGTTGGGTAAGTGTCTGCCTGAGGCTCAGGTCATGAGCCCAAGTCCCGGGATAGAGTCCCTCTCGGTGGGGAGCCTGCTTCTCCCTCTGCCCACCATTCCCCCTACTTGTGCTCTCTCTCTCTCTCTCTCTGTCAAATGAATAAATAAAATCTTTAAAAAAAAAGAAAGAGAGAAATGAAAATTACTTAAACTTTCTCATTCTTGTCCATTTGGAGGAAAGACATTAGTGTTGCCCGTCATCACTCCAGAGCAGCCATGAGTACCTCCAAGCCAACTGGAAGCCCATCTGCGGGGATAGCAGAAGCTGGTGTAAAGGGTAGGGGTGGAGGTCCAGCTTGCTCAGTGGTGAGAACATGACATCACTTCTCATCTTGACCACTGTCCCCTCCTAACCACTGCACCCCCAAAAGGAACAGAAAGAGGAATAAATAAGAAGAAAGCAGAAACTAGTAAGAAAGTATCCTCAAAGTTGAGACCACTTCTATCCCCACTTGATAATCATGAGCTAGAGAACATCAGTGAGATCTATCCACCTTTCTCTTTTTCTTTTTCTCTTTCTTTCTTTCTTTCTTTCTTTCTTTCTTTCTTTCTTTCTTTCTTTTTCTCTCCTTCTTTCCTTCCTTCCTTTCTTTTTTAAATGCAGCCTCCACATCCCGCATGGAACCCAATGTGGGGCTTGAACTCATGACCATGAGATCAAGACCTGAGCTAGGATCAAGAGTCGGATGCTTAACCAACTGAGCCACCACCCAGGAAATCACCTAAATTTACCATGTCTTGAAGCCTCTAGCTACTCTAAGAACACATAGATTGTTCTCCATGAGAACCCCTTTATTTCACAACAATGTTCACGCCAACACCAATAAACTGCATGGCCTCAAAGTGTGGAATGAACAGCTCACCATGGCAGCCTCCGTGTTTATCTTCCATGTCCATCCACTTTATAGCCCTGAGGTTACCAGCCCATGATGCATTTGGCATGGAGCCAGGGACACCTGCAATGTTGATAAAGAAAAGCAGAAATGAGAACCAAGAGAGATGGGTGCCATTTCATCAACGAAGCCTGCAAATTATGCTTATGTTTTCTGTAGATTATCTTTCACATTAGATTTTCCTTCATGGGTGCAAAACCTCAAAAGCTTATGGCATTAATGGTTGGTGGTTATGACCCCACCTGGCCACCAGTGGAAAAAAGAAAAAAAAATATATATATGCATAATTTTTTTGGTTATAATGTGTGCCCAAGCCTGCAAAATAGAGTTTAAGAAATACCATAGCTTGAAATCATAACGAAGATGGAAAAGTTGGGAGATTTGGGGGTTATCTCTTAATGGCCCTCAACTGATTTTACATTCAGTCCTAACATTACAGCTCTTTAAGACTTTTCAGATGACTTGTATCTTAAAATGAAAGCTCAGAAAACAGGCTACTCTATGTGCTAAGCACTAATAAGTGAAAGCCCTTTATACGAGGTTGCAATGTTAGGCATACAGAAGGGAAATATCTTGTTCACTACTTATAAACTCAAACACATCCCTTAACATGCTACCTTTTTAAAATTATTTTTTAATTTTTTTATAAGCAATCTCTATACCCAACATGGGGTTCGAACTTATGACCTCAAGATCAAGCATCCCATGCTCCACTACTGACTGATCCTGCCAGGCCCCCTGACACATTATACTTTTTATTCCTTAAAGTGCTTCTTGAGCATTTGGTGTTGCCAAGCATTGTGCAGGGCCCTGGGGGGAGAGAGAGGAAACAGACCCAGTGAAGATGAATTGTCGACCACAAGCGGTAGGTTTGAGCTTTGAGATCCCCACTATGAGGAAGACTGGTGTGCACTGACCCACCCATCTTCTCTATTTCTTTCCCCTGTTCTTTGGCCCAAAGTTTAGTGGCTGACCAATTAACTAATCAGGAATCAATGCACTTTCTTGCAATGTAAAGAGCCTTTAAAAAAGAAAAGAGGGCTTTGGGTCCCCACGAAGCCAGGGCTTTTCCACCTTGGCGATACTGACACTTTATCTATTTATTTATTTTTGCATATTTTTATATTTATTTATATTTTTATTTTATTTTAAAGAAATTTATTTTATTTACCTTCAATGAATGAACATACAGAGCATTACTGACACTTCAGACTGGATGATTCCCTGTGATCAGGCCTGTCCCGGGTGTTGTGGAATTACTCAGCAGCATGCCTGCCCTTCACCCACCGGATGCCAGTAGTACACAGCCCTCTGTTGTGACAATCAAAAACATCTTCCAGTGTGGCCACATGTCCCCCAGGAGGGAGGGTGGGTGCACAAAACTACCCCATTTGAGAAATGCTCTGTTAAACCATTTTTAAAAAGATCTACTTATTTATTTTAGATAGAATGAGAGAGAGAGAGAGAGAGCACACACACGAGTGGGAGGGGCAGAGAGAATTTCAAGCAGGCTCCCTGCAGAGTGTAGAGCCCGATGTGGGGCTTGATCCCTAGACCCTGAGATCAAGAACCGAGCTGAAATCAAGAGTCAGACGCTCAACCAACTGAGCCACCCAGGGCTCCCTGTGCTAAACCATTTCGTATAACCCTCTCCATCTCAATAAATTTTGGACAGTTCACAGATTAAAGGGTCCATTTTAATCCTATAGAGTAGTTTTACCCCAAGATTTCCGTTACTGAAAAGTGGGTAGATGGGAATTAAAGGTAAATGTGACAAAAGAAAAAATATTTTGTTTCACAAGCGCTCCAGCAATTTTCACCGGTGAGCAAAGCAAATCTGAACGTAATTCTGATGTTTACAGTACCGCGCTCATGACCTCTGTACCCAGGCTGTAATAGTCCTTTCTCAGAAGACCCAGTAGGCACAATCATGCCCCTCCCCACGACATGCATTCCAAGAAGTCTGGATCCTAATCTCTGGAACCTGAAATTATGTTCTGTTACAGGGCAAAATGGAATTCAGTTTGCTAATCAGCTGACCTTAAAATAGGGAAATTATCCTGAATTATCCAGGCTGGACCAATGCAACCACAAGGGTCTTTTAACAGTGGAAGAGGGAGGTGAACAGCTGGTACACGGGTACCATTAGAAAAGGCTCAGACCCTGCAGAAAAGTACGGAGCCCAGCCAACACTTTGGTTTAGTCTGGTGAGACATGTGTCAGATTTCTGTCCTAGTAATATAATACATTCACGTTGGTTCAGCTGCTAAGTCTGCGGTAGTTTGTTACAATGGCAAACAAAAAAACTAATACGCATACTAATGAGAAAAAAAAATTATCCAGGATGATAGATATTTTTTAATAAGAAAAAAAACTAGACAAGACCAATACTTTTCAGAAAGTTTAATTGGATTAGGCACATGAATACATTTCCTCTTTAAGAACATGAATAAAAATGTGCATGTTCAGAAGAAAAAAAGCTCTGTTCTTTTGCCCTGGTGTCACATGGTAATTATATTATAAATTATAATATAGTTATAGTATAGTATAGTTTAGTAATTATACTAAATCAAGAATTGTACCCAGGTCTCCCAACTAAAATTAAATTTTGCACAGCCCTTCCTGTAAATGGCATGATCCCTACTCCTAAGGGCTTGCTATAAGACAGATCCTTTTTTTCTCTCTGCCAAACTTGAAAAGTTTGCTTATAAATAATGAGTAGTCCCCAAGAAAAATACCATTTATTTAGCAATATTTCTTCCTATTGCTCTGATTTGCATTTATTACTTTAAAAATTACGTTAGCACATGCCTTTCCCAAGAGAAGCTTCTTTATTTTGTTCTTAGTACACATTTTAAACGTATTTAGAATAAAACTTGCCTCGGTTAAGTTGGTGGGTGAGTGGAGGACACTCCAGAAAACATAGAGGTATTTTGGTATATTTACTTGTGTCAACAAGATTAGCGGACATGGATGTAATTTCTACAAGTCTATTTTGGTGAAAAGCCACAGCAGAAAAGTGCAAACACATCACCGTAACAAAACGTACCTACCCTCCTTTACGCGATTATGTCTTTTAAAGGATATGATTTTTTTTCCTCTTTCATTCTCATGAATATTGATCATCACAAACTGACTCTTCCTCAGAAACACACTCCATTATTCTAGAAATAAGATGGTGACACTTATAATTAATGACTGCCGTCTTTACAATAAACACATAACAGGAGTGCTTGGGTGGCTCAGTTGGTTAAGTTTCTGCCTTCGGCTCAGGTCATGAACTCGGGGCCCTGGGATCGGACCCGTGTTAGGCTCCCTGCTCAGCTGGGAGTCTGCTGTGTGCCTCCCACCCCCACTCATACGCACATGCTCTCTCCCTCTCTCTCTCAAATAAATAAAAATCTTTAAAAAAATAAAAAAAATAAAAATAACACATGTGAACTTCCTGCTCATGGAATTACAAACCTCAATTTTTCTTTTTTAAGATTTTATTTATTTATTTGAGAGAGAGCGAGAGAGAAAGAGAGAGCAAGCACAAGCTGGGGGGAGAAGCAAACGCCCCGCTGATGTGGGGCTCCATCCCAGAACCCTGGGATCATGACCTGAGCCGAAGGCAGACTAAATCAGTCAGTTAAACTGACTTGGCCACCCAGGTGCCCCAGACCTCAACTTCCATACTTTGTTTACCGACAAGTCTCAAACATGTCTGTTTAAATATTACTCATATGTGTGCAGACAAAAATTACATTTTTCCAAGTGGAATCAGAGAGAGGGACAAAGTCGAACTCTATGCTGTCTTTTCTTGCGAAGAATTCCAAGGTCCAGAAATACCTGGCAGGAGTGGGCAGCGCCCCTGGCTTTGTTGGACTGGGAACTTGGGCGTCCCCTGGGAGCTTGTTAGAGATGCCGAATCAGCCATCCTGCCCGAGAATCTGCACCCTCACAAAATCCCCAGAGCATCCCAGCATGCGATCGAGCCTCAGCAGCCCTGGGCCATAACCAGCATTGCAAAGAGGACGTAGCTTCTGTCTCCTCTCTCCTTGAAGCCCCTCCCTCAGCCTTCACCAGGTTTCCGGTTACCTTTTCTTTCTCCTTTTCCCCACATTTTGCCCTGGGGAAGAAATCTGGTACTATGTACCTTCTATCCTTTGGTTAAGTTTGCAAACCTGTCCGCACCGCAGGGAACACAGGCATTTGAGTAGACCACTCAAATCACTTTCCTGAAGCCCATCAGCCCCCCTCGTGTGGGGTAAAGCTACGTTGAGCAGAAGACTGGTCCTCAGGGAGCCTTGACCTCACAGCATGGGGCCCACGGGGGATTCTCAGTCAATGTTAAATGACTGAATGAGTGAGGCACACAAGGGCTGCCCCCAGCAACTCAGAGTCTCCCGGGCTGCCCAGAGTGTGTGGCTAAGACAGGTCTGCCTGGCACCTTGGTTTCCCAACAGGTCACTGTACAATGAAGGTACAAATCATGCTCTACCTCTCGGTATCAAAAAGTATTTACTCTCCTCTCGTGGCCAAGGACAACCTGTTTTGGTGTGCCCTACAGCAACTGCTTAAGCGGCCATCAGTCACCTATTCGCCACGTGGGTCCTGCCTGGTACAACTCGCTTGATAACCCTCCACAGGGCTTCTGGCGACAGCTCAGATGTCAACTCAGTGTGAATACTCTGCAGGCATCGCTTGATTATTTTTGTCAGGCAACAATGGCAAGAGAGAGACTGAGTGGTCTGAATGTACCGTGTGCCTACTACACAGTGACTTAATGGGGTCTGGGTTAAAACATTACGTGGAGACCCCAAAGCTACTGATCGCATCACTTGTGCTGATATCCGATGCTCCTTCTACTTCCTAAAATTATCTACTAAGCATAATTTTCTCCCAGGGATGACCCGCAGCAGACGCCCCAGCACCCGTGGAACACAATTTCCCACTGCGATTGGGGAAATTCGTTCTTACCCCAGCTTTGTCAGCGTTGTCACTAACCAGCTGTGTATCCTGGAACCATCACTTAAGACTGTAGACTCACCTTTCAAATGAAGCCTAGAACAGATCGGCGG